ATGCTATAGACATATGCATGCACATAAACACCACCCCATATGCACGATTGACATGTGGCAATTTCTCCCTTAAAAATGGGCATGTTCATCCTCAATTGTATTTAAACCCCTTCATTTAGTCTCATCTCTCTTTTAATCAATCTCACCCTAACCCTTGAGCCTTGGCTAGCCAATTCTCTCCCCCTTAGTGCACTAGGTGATCACCCCTTCCTTGTCTTGGGCTCCCCCTCTCGCCCTCTTGGCTCGCTTCTCCTCTTCCTTGGACGGTGTTCTCACGTGCCGGTGTTCGACGGTCTCTTTCGTAAGTAGAAATATCGACCTTGTTTGATGATTGATAGTGTTAAAAACATTACAATCTTGACTGAGAATTTCCAGAATTCTTTAGTATTTGGAATGAATTATTAGAACGTCTTTTACCTTGTATAAGAGTAAGATGGATCTGAGAAATGAATTCCAGGGATTTTACATGTTTCTAAGTGGTGCTTTTGACCGACCAAAACTCATTAGAACGAGATGAAACCACTTTTCAATGTCAGAAAAATGAGTCTAGTTTAAATTTGGTTTTGGCCTCATGATAAAATTCCCTATAGTTTGAAAGTTATAGTTATTTTTCTACTGGAGTGTCAGTCTGTATTTTCTGCTGCATAAAACAAAAGTTACTCCTGGAGAATCAGGCAGTTTGACCAAGTTGGGTCTTTTATTTGGCACCACTTTCTAAATGAAAGTTGTGCATTTCTGGTCTAGCTTCTTTGGAAACAAGTCCCATGACCTAATGTTATGTATTTTTGAAGTTAAGTTCATTTTAGTGGGCAAATGTCGCCCTGGAAAACCAGAAAAATACTGTTTTTGGACACTAAACTTGTCCCATCTCGAGCGAAAGCTCTCGGACTCGATCCGTGAACTTGTATTGTTGAACGGTGGCCTATAATTTCTTTATCTACCCTGATCACTTACTCAGTCATGAGTGTAATTTGAGAACTTGAGGACACATCCTGTTATGAGACAAGTTCATGATTGTTACTCCACTGCTTGTTATGCAATCTATTTCTTGTTATACTGCATCGATATGTAGCATGCTATTGACATGACAATGTCTCTTGAATTGATAAGCATGATAAAACGACATAGCGTCTATTACATCGATATGTAGCATGCTATTGATATGATAATGTACCTTGAATTGTTAAGCATGATAAAATGATATAGTGATATATATTACATTGATATGTAGCATGCTATTGACATGATAATGTCTATTGAATTAATAAGCATGATAAAATGACATAGTGATGTCTATTACATTGATATGGAGCATGTTATTGACATGATAATGTCTCTTGAATTGATAAGCATGATAATATGACATAGTGACGTCTCTCGTAATTATATGTATAGCATGCTCTGGACATGTTGGTGTTTCTTGTGATCATATGTATAGGATGCATTGGACATGTTGATGTTTCTGGTGATTATATGTATGACATGCTTCTAATAAGATATGTGTGCATGGAGACATGCTTCTGTTATATGATCTATACATGGTAACATGTTTCTGATAAGATATGTGTGCATAGAGACCTGCTTCTGTTATATGATCGATGCATGGTAACATGGAGACATGCTTCTGTTATCGATAACAGAAGCATGTCTGTTATTGTGCCAGTATGGCCAGATAGTCTGTAGTTTTTTTTATTGACCTAGTTTTCTTCTTTTGGACCGTTGGGCCTTAAACGTTCTGTACATAAGTTGGATTCTATCATATGTATTCATTTATTCTTTTTTTTTCTTTCCTTTCTTCCTGTGCGCTTTCGTATGTTCTTACGAGTATCTCGACCATCAGACCCCCACCTCGAGCCTCGACGGTCCCGGCACCGGCCTTGGGTGCGCCTCAGCAAGGCCCGGGGTGGGGTCGTGACAATACTATTCAACACATTTAGACGACCCTTCTCCAGCTATTTCCTATAATGTGGCTATGATGTGTACACACCATACAGTGGTTGATGAATTTGACCTTGCCCTCACAAGCTACCATCTGCACGTTGGAGATCACTAGCCTCCAAGCTCACGACGTCATCCCTAGGCATCTCCCTTACCTCAACAAGGGATGACCCTAGAATGCAACCCTCAATGGTGGTGCCTATGCCAGGGATCAAGGTTTCGGACTTAATCCCAGGTCTAGACTACGCAACCCAAGTGATTGAACTAACAAAAGATAAAATACCATACTGGTCCTACCAGGACCACGATTTATCCAATATAGCATGAGTTTTATATGCTTTCAAGGCCTCTAAAGGCCACAAACCCAATAGAGAAGCCTTCGAACCAGGTTTGGGCCTACAAGTTGGTAGTAGACCGTATGAAAATCTTGGCTATAATAGCAAAGAGAAAAGAGGATAGGGGGTGGCATAGACCCCTCAATTATGTGACAAATTCTTGAGCACTTAAGACCAAGAAGTAGGGGGAGGATATTCATCCTTTAATCTTAAAATGCCAACTGCAATCAAAATTCATCAGACAACGCTGACAATGGGCCCGGCCAACTCTCATCCGAGTCCAACCTACGTCCCTATAGGGCAGGTCAACTCAGAATGGATGGAAGGGGCCTTGTCCCGGTCCAGGCCGGGCTAAATAGTTCTTCAAGCAAAGAGAAACTATGGGGCAACATTGCCCCAACCCTCGGGCCATATTTTTTGGCCCATGTCCTAGTTTTTCAGTGCCGGGCGATCCGGCCCATTGCCAGCCCTAATTAAACTCATGACTTAATCGAGGATCCCCCAAGCGGCATGTTATATATTTCCTCCATATCCAACTTTAAGATAAGCCTGGTATGTTGGCGTGGTGCCTGGCGTGGACTTACCTGTAGATGATGAAATCTATATCCAAGTTTGGCCAATCTTGAAAGAATACTCCTTGGGGTGGTGACATGACTTGGCTTAGGACCTGGCGCAAGTGTGAGACAAGGACTTTGGCCACAATGTTGTACGAGTTGCTGATCACTTCTTAGCCTAAAATCAGTCAGTTCTTCTACACCTTCTAGCTTTAGGATCTGGTCAATGAAGGTAGAATTCACTCCACAATTGGTGATGCCCCTATCGAAGAACTCAGGGAACATAACCAGGATGTCTTTTTTGATAATGAGAACATAACCAGGATGTCTATAGCCAGATAGTTCCAGACATGGTGGAAGAGTTTGATCCGGGAGTCATTTAGAAAAAGAGCTCTGTTATGTCTTGGATCAGCAATTGCCCTTCAGGTTTTGGTTTCAATAAAAGGACGTGCTAACAATGTGACACTCTCTGTCATTGGAGTCTGGAAATTCAGGTTCCCTGTATTCAGCCTGTCATGGTTTTGGCCAATGAAAATATTGCCGAAGTAACTGCTAATGATTTGGTTTACTTTTATTGGCTCTTTGTCTTGCACTCGCCTCCTCTAATCTAAAGGATGGCGTTACTCCTTTGGCAGTTTGCCGTCTTATGGAAGATAGCAGTATTCCGACCCTCTTTGAGCCATGATTCTTTAATGCTGGTGTTGGAAGATCTCCTCTTACTTGAGGATTTCTGGGAGTTCAGTTTTGGAGTCATATTCTTTTGCCAGGTTATAAATATCTGGTTTCTTTGATCATATCGAGACTGTTGATTTCATTGAGTTGGGCTTCCTCCTTCTCCTGTTGGTGACCAAACTGCTCACCATTCCAATGTTTCAGTATCTTTGAGGGTTATAACTTTTTGCAGAACCTGAACCCCAAAGAATGACCACCATGGGGGTATCAAGTGGTGGAGATCAAAGTCTTCTAGCCCCATCAACTCAAAACAGAAGGCTCTAGGGCTATTTGAATGAGGCAATATTTAAGAGGATGGGGGTTGTCCAAATATGGTTTTAAGGAGAGTTCAGCAGTGGGCATTTAGGAAATTTTCCTCCCAGTCAGTGGATTCAAGGAAACTATCTAGCTCGGTAAGTGTGAGGCAATCCAAGTGGCTTGACCCAGTGAAGGAGGTGCCATTAAAGGGAAGATCTATTAATGCCTGAACACAAAATCATAAAAACTAGTCAAACTGACTGTAATTTGGCCACATCTGTTCTTTTTGAAGGTCCATCAGTGACATTACGAGTCATTGCCAATGCACCAGGGCAGGGGGATGAGAGTTGAGATGTTGTCTAGTTCAGCCCAAATCTTCTCTCACCTCTATTTGGCATATAGACTGCTGTGAACCTTCATTCTATGTCCCCTGAGAGTCAAGAGAAGCAAATTGAGGATGAGTATGTTCATGTGAGAGTTGCACTTTTAGCCAGAATTGTTGGATCCTAGAGAACCCAAATCCACCCAAAAAGCCCTAGACAGGAAGCGATTCCCAAGCACAAGGTCTTCTGCTCAAATCAAGCAGGCCATGGATAGGTTTGGGGAGTCAAGTTTAACCGCTATAGTTATTTCCCAGTGTGCTTAGTGACTGATTTATTCTTCCTCGGTTCACCCAAACACTGTATTTTCCAGGCCAGAATTCTCATTTGGAGGGAAGAATGGTGTTCTTGATCTCTGGAAGAGCATCGGCGAGGTTGATAGTTGATAGCTGTTGGATTTGGAGCAAAGGGAGGCACGATTCCCGCTCTGAGATTTCTCATAATTTATGTGGCAGTTTAAACTTTTGAGCACTCTACAACCTTTCCTCAGTCATTTGGGTTTCCTACTGTTCCTAGTACTCTCCCAACATTCATATGTCAATAAGTGACACTTGGAGGTGCCATTCCTCCACTCAAAGTCCATCATAGAATTCAATGGACTTTTGAGCAGAGGAACGGCATAACCCGACCATCTGCTGCTGACATTGGATGATTGTGGAAATGTTAGGGAACCGTGGCACAGACAAATGTAGCACAATATACAAACACTATAGAAAAATCTTATTTTCAGGTTACTTGTATATTACTATAATTTATTTAAGTAGACGGTTCATTGGAAGCAACAAATAATAATAAGAACGGGCTAAAATCATAAAGTTATTGACCTCATAGATAGACCTTGCCACATCTCAGACTTGCCAAAAATCTCAATTCTGTTAGTGCTTCCATTTTTATAGAGACCTGAAGATTTGGCCTACAAAATGAGATGAAATTACGATAATGTTCATGAAGGTGAACTTCATGACTAACATGTGTGCACAACTGTGTCAATGAAATTAGTTTTCAGAACTCATGACTTGCAAGTTTGAGAAAGGTATCCAACAAAAAAATGTCACAATAACTTCTTATCAATGATTTCAGTTAAACTCTGCCAAAGAAGCTAAGGGTATTATATTACAACTAAAAATTAAAAACGAATATAGAGTATTGCATTAACTAAAGAGTCTTAAGTCGAACAAATGCTACATATGTTCCTAGAAGACAAAAGAGAAATAAAGAATAAAACATTCAAAGGGAAACAAGTTATAAAATAAAAATTGTCAATGGAAATAATTACAAGAACCAGTTCATGAGAAATGCATTTGTTTGATATGTAACCAATAATAAATCTAATTATATGAAATGAGAAATTCAAAAGAAATGAAATATCACCACCACAAATGAATATGAAAGTATAAAAAAAAAAACTTATTGAAAGGTTATATTGCCAAAGCAATTAAAATAATTACAAGAACCAGTTCATGAGAAATGCATTTGTTTGATATGTAACCAATAATAAATCTAATTATATGAAATGAGAAATTCAAAAGAAATGAAATATTACCACCACAAATGCATATGAAAGTATCAAAAAAAAAATTAAAAAATTATTGAGAGGTTATATTGCCAAAGCGATTAATATAGAACAAAAGCTTTTCAAACAGTTTGTGAATCATAAATTGCATCCACCTATTCTCACAAAAAGTTCAGTTCTCTCAAATACATGAGATGCTAAATAGTTTCAGAGCCATAATTTCAATTTGTGTAACACACACCTTGTCTTTTTTAATCTATTTTCCGTACAGTAGACTTCTTCCTATTCTTTGACGTACTACGATATCGGTAACCGCCCGCTCGCTTAGCCAGTCTGAGCCAACTGCGGAGCCTATCCTGTGCCTCTTAACAACCGTGCTAGTCGGAATTTGGGAAAAGATAGAGAGCTCTCTAGGATTTCCTAATCAAATTGATAGTTCGCTTTGCCAGTCCATGAATAATGTCAATTAATATTACACATTTAATGTGCTCTAAGCAAGAGCTCTCACTCAATGTTTTTAACCATCAGTTTGGACCCTTAATGAAGCCCTTTCAACAAATTGGCTCCAAAAAGTTTTCAACGAGAGAAAAGTACAAGGCGGTTTCACCATTGTTCAAAAAAGCGGACCGCCCAGCGCCTAGGCGGCCCAAAAGGCCTGGGCGCATCGCCCAGGCCTAGGCGGCCAAACTGGGCGGTAGTCCCTGGGCGGCCGCCCAGAGCCTGTGGCCCACCCAGAGGCAGAAAATTTTTTATTTTTATTTTTTCATTTTTTTCAAGATATAAAAGTTTAAAAAGATGGGTTTTAGGTTCATTTGAAACCTACACCCCCAAGAAACCCTTTTAGAGAGAAAGAAACCTCCAAAAAACTACATTTCATTGGATCGAATCATCGAAGTGTTTCTCAAAGTTTGGAGTTCGAGCAACCAAAGTAAGTGCAACTTTTAGATTGCTTGTTTTATTTTGAGATGTCTTCTTCAGGAGTTAGTCGGAGTGGAGATCCGGGTTGAAAATATGGATACAACCCAAATCCAAATGACAAAAATTGCGTTAGATGCAATTTTTGTGAAAAAGATACAAAAGGAGGCATAAAGCGGTTTAAGAAACATCTTGCGGTATTAAAGGGGATGTTGCCCCTTGTAAATATATTCCTGAAGCTATCAGAGAGGAGATTAAGAAATTTATAAGTTATGTAAAATAAAAACAAGAACAAAATCCTTATCATAGATCTATTTCTGCTACTCCTAGAAAAAGTGATCCGGGTTGGAAGTATTGGTACAACCTAAAACCAAATGATAAAAATTGTATAAGGTGTAATTTTTGTGAAAAATATACCAATAGGGGTATTAGCCGATTCAAAAAACACCTTCATGATGTTAGAGGTAATGTTGCTTCTTATACAAAGGTTCCTGATGCAGTTCGGGATGAGATTAGACATCTTTTGAATTTTAAGAACTAGAAAAGGATGAAAATAAGCCTTGTTCTATGGAAGTATCTTCTCCAAGTTCTAGACGGAGTAGTGATCCGAGTTGGAAGTATGGTTATAACCTGAATCCAAGTGATAAAAATCATATTAAATGTAATTAGTGTGGAAAGGATACTAATGAGGGCATTTACCGGTTTAAAAAACACCTTACCGGTATTAAAGGGGATGTTGCCCCTTGTAAAAATGTTCCTGAGGCTACCAAGGAGGAAATTATACAATATTTGAGTTCAGAGAAACACAAAGAAAAAGGTAGAGCAGCCAAGACTCCTAAGGCCTCATCTGCACAGACTAGTAAGAAGAAGGTAGAAGAAGAGGAGGAGGAAGATGCAGATTCAGAAGAAACAGAGGAGGATGAACATTATATTGAAGAGGGAGATGACTTTGATGATGATGGCCTCGACTCTGATGCATATGATGAGGCTTGCCTTATTGATATTCCTTCTAATGATGATGATGATGAAGACAACAACTAAAGACTTTTGTCTCTTGGTGCTGAGTGTTGAGCCTGTTGACTGCTGTGTTGAGTCATGAGTGTTGACTTTTGTTATACTGTATATTTTCAAAATTTCTGTTGTGTTGAGTGTTGACTTTTATTTACTACCTACAATTGTATAGTTACAGTTTACTGTTTTAACAATATGAATTATCAAAATTCTCTTCTCAACATCTATCTTTTTCTTTTTTTTCAACTTGGAATATGGTATTACATTGGTAATAATTTGGTATGATTTTTACTTTTTTTCATTTCAACTGGCAGCCGCCTAGGTTATAGGCCCGCCTAGGCGTTGGGCAGCCTGGATCCCCCAGGCCGCCTTGGACCCGCCGATACACTGGGTTTCACAACAACACACCAGCGAAGTATAACCATCCCGTAACAAACCAAGAGCTCCAACACTATATCCTGTTCAAATCTTTTCAGATTCATGTCTCGAATCTAGCACAAACTCCAACAAAAATAATGGTATAGGTTTATACTTTGTAATCTCACAGGTAATAATATATGGCATGACTACCAAGCGAATGCCACTATACAAAGTGCATTTCTAGAATCAGAAACTTCTTTTGTTTCCAGCTCAAACCACATCATCTTTTTCCTTGTCACATTCCTAGAAGAGCACCCCACCCTCAATCTATGACTTGGTAGCCACCAGATACCTTGCCACAATTTTAAGCTTTCCTTTTCAAACTATATAGTTCACTGAAGCTGACCTCACTACTCCATTGTTAATCAGCAATTCCATGTGTCTGTAAGAGCCTTTGGTGCTAAACTTAAGGTTTCATAGGTCTGAACCTCCCTCTTTTTAGACTTGCATTTCTCATTCTATTTGAAGTAAATCTGTAAAATACAGGATGCATGCAGTAGGTACATGCTTGGCATTTCCTGAAGCTGTAATTTTTGTCAATCGTAGGTTCATCTCTCAAAAATCTATTTTATTAATTCAATCCTACATTTGCAGGGGGCAAACAAAAAGGGATAACAGGAAATTATAAACATGATTTTCTAAGGTTCACATTACCTCTGTGTGTGTGTGCGTGTATATGTATGTATATTTATATATATAAAAAGATTTCATAAGCCGATGAGTATAAACTATAGCATAAGCTCATCAGAGCTCGAGCAATTTGTTGATCCCCACATTGTGCAACATGCCATCCTATCCTTTTTTCTTTTGGAGATAGATTAACTCCACATGCTCATCCTATCCTACCCTAGCAATCAAAAAACAAAAAAGAATTTGCACACTAAAAATGGTCCAGGTCAATGCTACCCTAAAAATGAACATAGATAGTCCATCTCATGGATAGTCGATCTAAGTCTTCAAGAACTCAAAATCTCTTGCTATTTTTTATTTTTATTTGTTATTTTTAGGTTGATCTTTTGTCAAATCAAAGATGTTATGCAAAACTTCAGCCTAAATAAATCCTTCCAGTTATGTGTCTTGGTCTATGGGCTTACAATGTAGCATAAGCCTATTGGCTACCGCAACACACACACACACATGTGTCTTTTTCATCCAATAAACCATTTGTATTGAGTTAATAACACAGTACTATTAAGAGGAGGCATATGCTAAGAATCTTTCAAATGTGAGAGATTGACTTATACAAAATGATTCCATCAAACTGGAAGCCCTAGAACATGTTAAGTATGAAAAACCAATGATTAGCAGTTAGTTTTGATTCCTTTTTTGCAACTATTAAGATAATCATGATTTGCAATGTTCATATTGCCTATTCATTGAGCCCATACCTCTTTGTCTTAGTTATGGATGACTTAACTAGGCACCTACAAGATGTGGTACCGTGGTGCATGTTGTTCGCAGATAACATAGTTTTGATCGATGAGACCCGAACAGATGTCAACACAAAGTTAGAACTTTGGAGGGATGCTCTAAAATCTAAAGGTTTTAAAATTAGCCGGACTAAGATAGAGTATAGGGAATGCAAGTTTATTAATAATAGGAATAGAAATGAAGAAGTAGTTACGATTGACAGCCAAGAAATACCACAAAGAGCGTACTTTCAATATTTTGGATCGATAATCCAGGAAAATAGAGAGATTGAAGAAGATGTCACACATAAAATTAGAGCTGGGTGGGCAAAGTAGAGATGTGCAACAACAGTTTTACGTGATTGCCACATACCAATGAACCTGACGAGCAAGTTTTGTAAGACAGCTGCAAGACCAACTTTATTTTATGGGGCGGAATGTTGGACGAGCAAGAAATAACATACCCATAGAATGAGTGTGGCTGAGGTGAGGATGTTGAGATGGCTGAGTGGAAGGACAAGAAGGAATAAAATTCGAAATGAATACATTTTGGAGAATTTAGGTATGGCACTAATAAGCAATAAGATGAGAGAAAGTAGACTAGATGGGCTGGCCATGTGCCGCGTAGATCCAGTACAACACCTGTTAGGAAGTGTACGTTTGTTCAAGTGGAAGGCTAAAAAAGGGCAAGAGGTAAGCCTAAAAGGACTTGGTTGGAAGTAGTGAAAAAAGATATGGGGGCTTATGGCCTCGCTGGGGGTATGGACCTCAATAGAGTAAATTGGGGAACCAGGATGCGTATAGCCGACCCCAATAAGTTGGGAAAAGGCTTTGATGATGATGATGATATTGCCAATGAATATTGCTTAGTTTTATAAACTACAACAAGATTTGAAGCCAGTTTAACAATGTACTCTTCTTTTTTACATCAGATTTGGGATGCATAGATCCAAAGTGAACCTCCCCTTTGCAAGGGATAATTGTTTTCCTAGCCAAAAGCTTTCTATTCTCATATAAGCGATGCTCTATTGGAGCTCACAACTTGGGAGACTCTTTTGGCACTTCCATTTTTCTTTCATAAGCATATAAACTATCAGCAGTAACACATTTTCAGTGAACAAAGCATACAGCAAAAACCACAAATGTTTTGGTAGTAGTACCTCTGATACAATCTCATATCACTCCATGAAATCTTAGCCATTCAAATTTATCCAGAAACCATGTAACTGACTAGACTCTTTAGAAACTGAGCATCATTTCAGTTAAGTTGATTGGGAACAGCTATAGATCACTAGAAGTGCAAAACCAACATGGCAATTATGCAGTTGCTCAACTACCATACGAAGTAAAAATTCAAAAGATTAACTGGAGACTTAGTAGAAAGTGCTACAAAGTTGGACGGCACCGTATCTTGAATATTATAATCACTCCGCAATAACTAAGATCACTCCACAAAATTGGCCAACTGAACGTGATGAAATGTCTAACAAAGAACCCCATTAGCAATACTTTGAGCAACTTCAGAAATTTCATAACCATGAATTACGATAAAAAATAAAAAATTTCCCATGAATAATCGTCGCATACCAAAAACATAGAGTAAAGTTCACCGGCATGACGCTATTATAGGTCATGCTCATAAGGTATTCCAGCTCAATTCATCTTAAAAGCATGTGCAGGCCAACAACGAATAAGATTACAGAATTCTATATGAAACCTACTAGGTTATAATGGGAACAGAAGAAATTCTAAAGAAGAATGAGTGTACTGACAAGGAGTTAAGGCATTAACTAAAATTTGAGGAGAAAAAGAAAGAAATAATGGACAAAAATGGGGATGTGGTTTTACCTCAGAAGTCGATGTGATAGAAAAAAAGTTTGAACGAATTTTGGGAGCCATTAGTAGAAGTGAGGCCATGGTTGAGAGGAAGAGATTGCGGAACCTCACAGCGTACAGTAGCAGCATACCCCTGTGACATATAAAAGTAAGTCAACTCATTTTTCTATAAAATAGATATTTGAAACTGTTATTTCTATTTTTAATAAAATTATGATATTTTTGTCTATTGTTATGAATTTTAAATTTTTAATAAAATTATGATATTTTCGTCTATTGTTATGAATTTTAGATACTGTAAGTTTTATATGTAAGTGATCTCATTTTCTTGCAAAATAGTTATATAAAAACTGATATTTCTTTATTTAATTGTAATATTTTGATCTATCAATATGAATTTTAGATACTGTACGTGTTATGTGCAAGTGGCTTTTTTTTTCATGTAAAACAGTTATTTAAAAATTCGTATTTTTGTATTTAATAAATTTGTGATATTTCCGTCTATTGTTAAGGATTTTAGATAATTGAAAATTTAGTAATTAACTCTGGATTGCATAAGAGTTTTTCTATTGTCAATGGACTTCTTATCATGTTAAATTTCAATAATGTCTCTCAGAACTACTACCGTTCTGAAACTATAGCCCAAAATATTTAATTGGTTATTTATGAAATATCAGTGAAAGTATTTGCTGTGGATTAATGCTATTGATTTCAAAGATATTTTGAATATACGATATTATTGCTTTCTGATGTTCAAAATTAGTTTTAGAGATACTTTAAGTATAGATGTGGACCTATCCGGATCGCCAGTAGGGATTAAGTGGACCTATTCGAGATGTTGGTAGGGATTGAGCGGAACTATGCGAGATGCCGGTAGAGATTGAGTGGACCTATTCGGGATGTTGGTAGGATTGAATGGACATATCCGGGACGCCGATAGAGATTGAGTGGACCCATCCAGGACGCTAGATGGGTATATAAGTGACCTACTTGGGATGCCGGTAGGCTATTTGTGAAATCTTGTGAATTTTGTTGCACTGTGCATTCTGTTAAAGGATTTATATATGCATTTCTTCATAGTGTTTCAATATGCATTCAAATCTTATGGATTATGTTAAAATTGTGTGTTTCTAAATCTGAAACTGTTCTCCATGTATACTCTTCCTTATATTATTTTAACATGCATTCGTTCGAAAAATATTTACATTTTCCAATCATGATTCTTAAGGATTATGATGGTTACTTCTTAAGTAGCCAAACTCATCAAATTATTGTGAATTCTTTACAGATTAATTGCATCCTTATTATTCATATATACAACATGAGAAGCTTGGAAGAAGGTTGTAGTCATGATTAAATTTGCCTTTGTAACTTTTATTCTATCAAGTTTGCATATATAGAGATCTTCTTGTCAATATGAGTTGTGAGTAGACTTTATACAAATTTGAAAATTTAGAAAAATCAGTATTGGTCCAATAGATAGCGGAATTTCTGAATTTGTTCTATCTATAGTTTAATAATAGACTGTCACATATCAGGAATGTTAGTGTTAAAAAACTTGGGGTGTGACAATTTTGATATCAGAGCTGTTTAGAATTGATGATTTATATGATCAATTACAAGGATCATAAGTATTTTAAAAAATTGTTCTCAAATCTAAGTATCATCAGCTTAAGATTAGAAGTGATGATCTTTCCAAAACAACCTTCACGATAAGATGTGACCATTATGAATTTTTGGTTATGCCTTTTGGATTAAGCAATGCACCAGCCGCATTTATGGATTTGATGAATCGAATCTTTAAGCCCTTTCTGGATAAGTTTATTGTAGTATTCATTTATGATATTCTAATTTATTCCAAAAATTGGGAGGAGCCTGAGCAACATATAAGGGTAGTATTGCAAATACTAAGAGAAAAAGAGTTGTATGTCAAATTAAGTAAATGTGAATTTTGGCTGGAACAAGTGACATTTTTAGGCCATGTGATATCAAAGGAAGGTTTATTTGTTGATCCTTCAAAGGTTGAAATTATGATTAATGGGAAACAACCAAGTAATGTGATCGAAGTTCGAAGTTTTTAGGGACTGGTAGGATATTACAGAAGATTTGTAAAATGATTCTCTCAAATTGCAATTCCATTAACCCGATTGACACGGAAAAATGTCAAATTTGAATGGACAAAAGAATGTGAGAAAAGTTTTCAAGAATTAAAAGCTCGATTAACTTCCACACCTATTTTTACTATTCCCGTAGGAAGGGGAGCATTCAAGATTTACAGTGATGCTTCACACAAAGGTTTAGGCTGTGTATTAATGCAACATGGGAAGGTAGTGGCATATGCATCTAGACAATTAAAAGAATATGAGAAGAGGTACCCAACTCATGACTTAGAACTTGCGTTAATAGTGTTTGCTTTAAAGATTTGGAGGCATTATCTGTATGGTGAGCAATTTGAAATATATACATATCATAAAAGTTTGAAATATCTTTTTTCCCAGAAATATTTAAATATGCTGCAGGTAAGATGGATGGATTTCTTAAAAGACTATGATTGTACAATCCATTACCATTCGAGCAAGGCTAATGTTGTGGCAGATGCTTTAAGTATGAAGTTTTCAAGAGTTTTAACTCATCTAATGATTATAGAGTGGTGACTATTGGAAGAAATTAAATATTGGTGCTCAAAATTTCATTTAAATGATTTCGACACTACTATTGCTAATTTATGTGTAAAGCCAACTCTTATTCAAAGAATTAAAGAGGCACAATTAAATTACACTAGGATGGTGGCAATTATGGAAAAGGTAACTAAAGGTCAAGGCTAGATTTTGAAATTCGACAGGATGGCATATTGAGATTCAGAGGGAGACTTTGTATTCCAAGTGATGAAAATCTAAAAAGGGAGATTTTGGATGAAGCTCATCGATCTTGATATACTGTGCATCCTGGTAGTAACAAAATGTATCAGAATCTATGAAGCCATTATTGGTGGAATAATAATAAAAAAAGAGATTGCTGAATTTGTGTCTAAGTGCTTGGTGTGCTAATAAATTAAGGCGGAACACCAAAAACCCATGGGTATGTTACAACCCTTACGCATTCTTGAATGGAAATGGGAACACATAACTATGGATTTTGTTACAGACTTAGCCAAAACAAAGAACAATCACAATATAATTTGGGTAATTGTGGGTGGACTAACTAAATCCACTCATTTTTTGGCCATCAGAGTAGCAAATTCATTAGATAAGCTGGCAAGGCTATATGTTCGAGAAATTATAAGATTGCACGGGACGCCAGTGATAATTGTGTCTAATAGAGATCCTCGATTTACCTCTCAATTTTGGAAGAGTTTACAGGAACCCATGGGTACCAAGGTAAATTTTAGTACGACATTTCATCCTCTAATAGATGGACAATCAGAAAGAACAGTCCAGACTTTAGAAGATATGCTTAGAGCTTGTGTGATGGATTTTAAAGGAAGTTGGGATGACCATTTGCCTCTAATCATTTTTGTCTATAATAATAGTTATCAATTCAGTATTAAAATGGTACCAAATGAGGCATTGTACGGAAGAAAATGTAGATCACCTATCTTTTGGGATGATGTAGGGCAAAGAAAATTATTGAGACCAGAGCTAGTTCAAGACACTACCAATAAGATTAAGATCATCCGGATATGCAAATAAAGGCAAATATGCAAGTCATGAAACCTGAATTTTGTGTTTTCGAACTCCTGATAAGCTGAATGCCATTAATCTCAGTCTTACTCTAGTGACAGTAGCAACATACCCATCTCGTGACATATAAAAGTAAGTGACCTCATTTTCCTGTGAAATAGTTATTTGAATATTGGTATTTCCACTTTTAATAAAATTCTGATATTTCCGTCTATTGTTATGAATTTTAGATACTGTAAGTTTTATGTGTAAGTGATCTCATTTTCCTGTAAAAGAGTTATATAATAACTGGTATTTCTATATTTAATTATAATATTTCCGTTTATCAGTATGAATTTTAGATACAGTAAGTGTTTGTGCAAGTGGTCTTCTTTTCCTGTAAAATAATTATTTAAAAATTTGTATTTTGGTATTTAATAAATTTGTGATATTTCCATCTATTTTTAAAGATTTTAGATTGTTAAAAATTCAGTATTTAACTCTAGATTTTTATAAGAGTCTTCTATTGTCAACATACTGCTTATCATGTTAAATTTCAATAATATCTCTCAAAACTACTACCATTATGAAGCTATAGCCCAAAATATTTGATTGGTTATTTCATAAATATTAGTGAAAGTATTTGCTATAAATTACTTCATGTGGATTAATGCTGTTGATATTTTGAATATACAATATTGTTGCTTTCTAATGTTCAAAAATAGTTTCAGAGATACTTTAAGTATATAAGTGGACCTATCCGGGACGCCGGTAGAGATTAACTGGACCTATCTGGGATGCCAATAGGGATTGAGTGGACCTATTCGGGACGCCGGTAGAGATTGAGTAGACCTATCTGGGATCCCGGTAGGGATTGAGTAGACCTATCCGGGATGCCTGTAGAGATTGAGTAGACCTATCCGGGACACCGGTAGGGATTGAGTGGACCCATCTAGGACGCTAGTGGGGTATATAAGTGACCTACTTGGGCTGCCGATAGGGATTTGTGAAATCTTGTGAATTTTGTTAAACTATGCATTTTTTTTAAAGGATTTATATATGCACTTCCTCATACGATTTCAATATGCATTCAAATATTCAGGGTTAGGTTAAAATTGTATGTTTCTGAATCTGAAACTGTTCTCCGTGTATGCTCATCCTCATGTTGTTTTAATTTGTATTCTTTTGGAAAATATTTACATTTTCCAACCATGATTTTTGAGGA